CGCTTGTACAGGATGCGCCCCGGCAGCAATACTGAATATTGTATCTTGGCCCTATACTACCATGACCAGACCATCAAACCTTTTGTCTCTTTTCACATGATTAAATCTTCTGGGCTCCCGGTCTATATTCCTTCAGCTAAAATAACATTGTTAAACCTACCCGTAAGTAGTACAGCGACTCCAACCGAGAAAACCACATGCTCTGGAGCCTCGCGTCTGAGAATAGTAGTAGTAGTAAGTAACTGGATGTGTTACCACTGTTACCACCGTACTGCAGACATTCTCACTAAAACGGAAGAACAAATCTAAATTTTAATAAAGTCTTGGTTACAAATATACAGTTTAGTAGGAAAATAATGAATGTGGCGTTAGGTGCTGGAATTCCAATCTAAATAATCATGAATATGGCAGATTTTTCACTCAAGGCTAAACACCTCCACATCATACAGCACAGACCATAATTAGTCAGATGCTAATGAAACACTGCTGTAAGCTTTAGTCTACTTTAAATCTACAATATTTTATTTTTACCCTCCTTCACGAGGAGCGGAGAAAATGAGCTGAGCAACCGAAAGGAATACAACTGCATCTAAGAACATTATCATCTACGTTCCGGACAGTCAATCACAACTTCACTCGTTTCGTCGTTTAACACGGATGGGACCTTTCCAGCGGTTTATATACAGTAGTCACTACAACAAAACCTTGACAAAGAAGAGATCAGAACTACTGAAGCACACAAATTAAACTATTGCATCTAGCTTACTTCTTTTACCATTTTACAAGTATTTCCTGCTTAGTTTGGGGTATTTCATCACATTAAAAAATATTCAAAATATCTACACTTTAATTCGTCTATTTAATAATCAAAAGAATAATCTGAGATAATCCTCTCCCTGATACACTAGTCTATGGCACTTACGCCGACCGGACGGACAGCTTCTAATCTGCTGGCCATTGACACATCCCCTATTCTGGCCCGGAGTGAGTCTGCTTGCTACAAATAAACGAGGCCGAACGATTTGTTATAAATAACATTCTGAAATATACATCTTCCGATTAGCACCAAATTAAGGAGGACCGAGATACATCTAACATTGTCAAAGTGTACAAAATCAAAACGGCAATAGGCTTAAACCAAATGTAACAATAGCACTTCCAGAATGGCATACTGTAAACCTAGGCTATATGGTAATTGGCAAAAGGGCAATCTTATTTTATTTATTACGGAAGCGCCTAAGTGTCGTCCTACTTGACGACTTGTCAAGATTAATTATCTTGACAACATAATCATGTCGACGCACAGATAAATTTTCCTGCCATGTTGACTTATCAACTTTAAATAATAATAATAATAATAATAATAATAATAATAATAATAATAATAATAATAATAATAATAATAATAATAATAATAATAAAAATAATAATAATAGGGCCTACAACTTACCTACAAAAACGGTTGTTTAAAAATAGGCGAATTGTAATTGCATTTAAAAATACATTAGGCCCATTAACTAATTAGATTTTGAAATATTTTTTCTCTATATAATAGGCCAACACATTTTGTCAAAGTGGCGAACGTTTTGGATGCCTCTGAAGGTTATATTTCATAAACTGCGGTATAGTAGTATTAGTCTGATTGTGTTTTGATTTTTTATGATTGAAATGATTATGTTAGATTTTGTCTTAGAAATCGTCAGCCTACTTTAGTTTTCTAAAGTTAATAATTACAGGTAGGAGAATAAATCATAACTCGCACCGTCATTGTGCTGAATTGCGTAGGGAGTAGTCCATGACTACCTAGTCCCAAGAGAGGCTTATAGCATGAAAGAATTAGTTTATTTAGTTTAAACTAACTCCTCCATGCTTATAGTATATCTACATGTTCACACCATTCCACACCGACTGGGGCTGAAACGGACCACATCATACCCCCTTGTTCATGGGCCGAGCATACCCCCTTGTTCATGGGCCGAGTCGGTGATGGGCCGAGTTGGTATGGTCCGAGTTGGTTAAGGGCCGAGTTGACCTGGGGTACCCCCTATTCTTCCGAATGATGCAATAAGCAGGCTGCAGAAATGTGTGCACTGGTGACCTCTATTTAAGGTCCTTTTCTGAAAAGACTTTGTTCTGTACCAACCGAACACTATTCATTTTAGTCAAACCAAAACATAAGAAATATTAGTTGATTTCAGAAACAATTTTTTGACAAATAAATGGGAAATTCCCGCTTATTTACCATGTTTGTTATCTATAATCAACATTAGTTATGACAGACACATATTTTCCGTTTTTTGAATAAGGAATCCTAGCTCAACTATGCTTACATTATTTCCAAAATCAGTAAACTATGTATTATTTTCCCCCCTTTTTTTAAATGAGGAAACTAGCTTAACTCAAGTTGCACAGTAATTATATTATTTTTGCTATCCAAATATAGTTTGATATTGACATAATGGATGCGGAACCCCCGCATTGTGAAAGCATATCATATGCACATGGTCTTTTATACTTGTAGTATCGTATAGACTCTCTGCATAAAGACGACAATAAAAGTAAACAATCAGGTACTGATAAACTCAAAGGTGTTAAAAATAGTACGGTGATCTGAGCCAAATATTATTATAGTATGTTGCTTAGGTTCTATGTGTTTCTTCTACATGGCTTAAACATATTGGTTTTGGTACAAACATTTTTGTAACGCTCTTCTTGCTAATTAGGCCTACAGTGTATTAACACAAACAAAAGTAAATGTTATAAACAAGAAAAATAGTTAAATACGTGATGCAAAGTTCTTGGAACGCCCTCTGGCGAGAATATGCAAAGGAATCAAATAACAAATATGGAAAGCTAAAGTGGCTCGTGATAGTGTTATGTATAGAAAATTCGGGGAATACAAAAAACCTACTTTTGTCTCTCGCTTGACATGCGACTCGGAGCTGAAACTCGTTGTGTGGGAGGAGATTGTTTATTAATATGAAGCTTTCCTGTTAATTATTATTATTATTAGGCCAAAATCGGGGTTAATACAATTTGTTGTGACGTCACTTTAATAACGTGAACATTCACATTTTACACACCTCATTCATAATACTACGTCACTTTGTTGTATAAAAGCGTCACCGCGCCCGCCCTTCAATATTTGCTTGCGCGCTCATTTCCTCAGATGCGTAAGAGTGGTATAATGTTTCTTACAGTATTTTCTTTAAAAGTATTGTGCTTAGGAAGTCCGGATTTGTAAAGTGTTTACATGTTATCCAAGTGTTCGCCTTTCATGCTACACATGTTCTTTCATAAAATCAACGCATATTTTTAAAGAGTGACGACAATTATACGTGGTCTATGACAACAATAGTGGCTAACTCTCCCTAACCTGCGGTCGTGTCTAAAATTCTACAACTAAAGGTTATTTTCTACTTCTACCGTGTCCATTTTAATTGTGTTATAATTTAAAAACCTTTTATTCAATTAAGCACATATGCCAACGATCTCCTATCAATGAACCGAGTTCAACATTACCTAATTTTAGTGATTAATAAGAACCGGTGTTTCAACGCTGTATTGCCGTAGATCCATGCATAGTAATATGTTAATTATCATTTTTATAGCGCATGATGCCAAGATTGTAGGTACTTCACTAATTTGTTTTAATCTAGCCCTTTTTTCGATATGACTATGTGATTATTAGCTTTTATAAGATGTCAATTTTAACATTTTCATTATAATTTTTAGCGTATTATGTATTATGTTTTAATTTTTCTAATGTATTTTATGAACTTCTAGATGAAGTAATTGTTAGTTTTTATCACGATCTTATGGTAGAACAATATTTTATTATTGAATAATTTCCGTGAATAAATAAAGTGACTAATACTATACCATCCATCCATTTTTTGTAATTCATTTATAATAAGTATAGTTTACTGCAGTTTAAGTTTAGTTTCAAGGGCATCTTTACGGGCTTTTGCCTCCTTGCTTCCGGGCACTTGTTATTAGGAATTCAAGTGAGTAAAGTGAACAACATTTGTGAAATTAATCATTATCTTTATTCTGGTTTAAGTAAGAATCCTTACTTAAAATAAACATAAAACGAAGAAGTCCCCATATATTATATTACCTTGTTTTGATCTAATGAATATTATAGTCTTGCAGACACTCATTTTTTTTTTTTGAATGAGGAAACCAAGCTGAACTATACCTGCACTATTACCATGTTTTTATTCAAACAAAATAAGTAATTTAAATACCAATATTTTCCCCTTTTCTGGAATGAGGAAACTGGATGAACTCCAGATTACACATTCATTATAATACTTTGCTATCAAAGTATAGTTCGATGTCGACACAATGGTGACTTTTTCCATTGAGTAGCAAAATACAATAGTCAATTTTGTCTTGATCCAGTACCTGCATATCTCGTGAACAAACAAAAAAAGCAGCCCATCAAAATGTCAAACACTACTACGTCAATCTTAGTTAACTATATGGTTTTTTTTTTGTTTTTTTTTTTTTGCTTACTGAATATATTTCTGCGTGGATTATTTTGGTACGCAGAATGTAAAGAAGTATTTTCATATAGGCATATTTGTTTGTACCTCTCTCCGTTGTTCATCTACAAAGTTACAGTAACAAATAAATACATTGCAAGATATAGCTATATAACTGACTGGCCTAAACCGGTACCTAAATACTGTTATTTTTTATTTTAAGGACAATAATAATTATTATTTTAAGAACACAATAATAAACAGTGTAATACAATTAATAGCTTTAGAGACATTGCCTCAAATTGTTTAGAATAGTTAAAAGTGTTCTTTATTGTTTCAGGTGAAGAAAGGTTAATCTCATTTTAATGTTATTTCTAAAAGAGAACTATTGTTATTTATGTTAAAGAAATAATTTTTTATCTTTTTATCTATATTTTATCATTATACAAGACTTACCAGGAATTAAGAGTGATTTCAAGTTTTTGAAACATGGTTATATAATAATAAAATTAAACAAAAATGACTTGGCACAGATTAGCATAGATATAGGCCAAAAATTCTAAAAGTAAATTTAATCATTGTCTTATATATTAAGTTGTAATCTCTTAAAAGTAAAATATATAGGCCTAAATACATGATACCGTGCACCCCTACACCCTATGTCCAACTAATAATTTCTCTTCATGATGCAGGTGGAGGAGCGGTGGGTGGGTGGGTTAAAAAGATGAGGAGGGAAAGTGTATGCTTGAGTTTATAAATATAATGAAATCAACGGTTTTTTTATTGCTCGTACTGTTATTAGTTAATTATTTCTATGAGTTCTGACGCAAAAATGCTGGGAGTGGTGGGGTTTACTATTTTCAAGTGCCTATATTTAGATTAGTAATGTTAAACAACCACACGAATAGCTTCCCACAATAGTAACCCATCCGAAAACAATCAAAGAATAGTAACCAATGGTTATTATTAGTTTTACGGTATTCATAAAAAATGATTTTTTTTTTTAAAGAATGTAAGTTACCTTTCAGAGTAACTTTCTCTTTTTCAGAGTGTTTCTGAAAACATTTTTCAGAGAGTTTCTGAAAGGTAACTTACATTCTTTTCTTTTTATTATCATGACAGTTAGAGCACAACTTCCATGCGACTATTTTTTAAAAATCATTTTTATTACTATTAATATTATTACTGTTTTTTAGAAAATATTCATTTGCATTACTCCAATTATTATAAATCATGGAAAAATATTGGCATGAATTTTAGTTTTACGCAAAAGAATAAAAAAAAAGAGAAATACAGACTATTTCTCATAAAATATTACCATTTTCTGGACGAA